AGAAAATTTTCATTTTAATTATTTAATCAAAATTAAGTTTACTCATATTTTACTTTTATATATATATATATATATATATATATATATATATATATATAAATTATTCATAATTTGCGTACGTATATGCGAAAAATAAATTTTTTATATATATATATATATATATATATATATATATATATAAATAAAGTGGAATCACATAAATAGATATACATCAATGCAGTGTTTTATGATTACTAGATAATTTTATATTTTACCAATATAATTAAAAAATTAATTTTCGAGTGTAAAAAAGAATACGTTAAATCATGTTTGAAGTAAGAATAAGAAACAAAGTAATCCTTATAGTGATAGAAATTATAATAAGTACTCATCTAAGTACCGAAAAATCCATCAAATTGGTCTAAATTTTGTTTCTCGATCAATAAATAAACAAGTTATTGAATTTGACAAATTTTACATTAAAAGCTTCTTTTAAATGAAGGTGATTATTAATAAAATATATCAATCAATTAATAAAATATATCAATCAATTAATAAAACATTTTTCAATTATAAAATAACCAAATTTAGTATAGTGATTAAAAAGTGTTTTAAATCTCATTACCATTATCATGAATCTCATTACTCATTAGATCTCTCTTTCATATATATATTTTTCCGGTTATGCAAAAGTACAGGGATGACAAAAAACAAATTGAATATTGTAAATGAAGAAGACTATAACTAAGAACATACTAATTTCAATTAGAATGTTTTCATTAGAAGATATAAGAGATTTTTTTTTTAATTGGGGAGAGAAAAATATTCAACCCAAATGAAAAAAAAGATAAAGGTGAAATTATATTCAAATATTAAATACAAATATAAATATTCCACTAAAAAAGTTACTAGTTATATTACACGTTAAGTTGGTTGAAGAAACTTATAGCTAAAAAATGATAAATTGATCAAACAAAATTATTAGTTAAATAAGATGTGACATATAATTTAAGAGAATTATCAATGTGAGTTCAGCTACACTATTTTCATATTCAACTTCAATATCTGTAGAGAGAAAATATGTTATTATTTTACCCATTGAAATAAGTGTCATAAGGAAAGATGAATAATTGATGAAAGAACAATAAGTAGTAAGACAACATGTCCAATCTACATTAGAAAAAAAAAATTAATTTTAGTGTTCAAATTAAAGTGGAGACCTACACCAATAGTCTTTGACATAATTATGATTTTCATTATTCCTAACATTTTACTTTGCCATTATAAACATAATGCTTGGCTAATTATTCATTGCTCTAATTGTATTTCAAAGTAGGTAATACAAGAATCTAAGGGACAATATGAAAAACAACCACAACAATACTTAATCTAGGATACAACATTATTCATAGAACATTTAAAGAATATCAACAATAGGTTGGTTATGAGTATGAAATGTTTAATTTTGTTAGGGTTAAGTCATGTCATGTGAATATAAAATTGGTTTCTCAACACTTTTGTATATCGTATATTACTACTTTTTGATATTCTTAAGTATTTTAAATAATCTCTAAATGACTTAAACAATTGAAAGTAAGGAAAAAAAAGATCAAAATCAAGAAGAGAGACGCTTATTGTATTATGAGCTTAAAAACTATATCAAAGATATATAGATCAAGATAGTATATTGTAGTTATGCGGCTAGGGTAATGTATTGGAGACACACGATCAAAAGTAGAAAAATTAAGGAATCAAGATCCATAAGGAAAAGGCTCATCAAAGTAATATAAATAGATAAGAATTTTAAGGTATACATATTAATATGTATTACACTTGTCCTTTGAATTTTGAGTCTTTTCTAACTTGAAGTTCTCTGTAGACAAACTAACAATATATCAGTTAGAGAGTTATATCACTACTACAAAATATACTTTCAACGTCGTCATTTAACGTCGGTTAAAGCTGAGTCGACATTAAATACACTTTCAACGTCGATTCTAGATGAACCGACGTTGAATGTGTTTTCACCCAAAAATGCTCTTAAGTTAAGGAATTGTCATTGACAAGATTCAAACCCAGTATTTTAGAGTTGAAAGTTGATACTCCAACCACTAAACTACTGTAATTTTCCGATAATAATTTACAAATTAATTATATTTATATACAAATAAATATATATCCGTGTAAATATATATTTATTTATATATATTTTCTGGAAAGTGTTTTTATTTTTTTCAACCAAAAATTTACTTAAGTTAGAGAATTGTCACTGACAGGATTTGAGCACAGTATTTTAAAGTTGAAAGTTGATACTCCAACCACAAAATTACCGTAATTTTCTAATAATAACTTACAAATAAATTATATTTATATACAAATAAATATATATCCGTGTAAATATATATTTATTTATATATATTTTTTGGAAAGTATTTTTATTTTTTTTAGTCAAAAATTCACTTAAGTTAGAGAATTGTCACTGACAGGATTCAAATCCAAGTATTTTAGAGTTGAAAATTGATACTCCAACCACTAAACTACTATAACTTTTTTATAATAATTTACAAATAAATTATATTTATATACAAATAAATATATATCCGTGTAAATATATAAATATAGAATATATAAATACAAATATATTTATATATTTTGATATATTTATATATATTTATATATATTTATATAGTTATATATTTATATGTTGGATGTGAGGGCGTGTTCGAGGGTGAAAGTGAGATTGACTCTCACTTGAGTAAAAATACGTTAAAGCTCACGGAAACTCGCTCAAGCCTCGCTTGAGCGAAAATTGTATTTTCGCTTGAGCGAATGATGCGTTTCCCAAATTTATTTTATATCATTATATAAATAAATTATAAATATTATATTCTGTCATTAAATTACAAACCCATATAAAGAGACTCGCTCACAAATTTGACATCAAATTTTGAAAACCCACTCGACACACACTTTCACCTTCGAGCGTGCCTTCACATCCAACATATAAATATATAATTATATAAATATATCAAAATATATAAATATATTTGTATTTATATATTTACACGGATATATATTTATTTGTAAGTTACTATAAAAAAATTCGAGTAGTTTAGTGGTTGGAGTATCGCCTTCAACACTAAGGTACTAGGTTCGAATCCTGTGACAAAAAATTAATTTGGTATTGCTCTAAACTTCAAAAATATATGATAAATAACAAAAAATAAATAAAAAATTTTGATTTGAATAGAGCCGACGTGGAAAGTCTTATTTGTAGTAGTGTATATATCAAAATATTACGAGTTAGGTAACAATCTTATGAGATTCTCAACATTACATGAAGATTATCCATTATTCTTCTATAATTGTCTAACCAAACTAATAATTAACAAGGATACTAACTCGAATGTTGTTTTAATCCCCCGAAAAAAATAAAGCACAAACAAACAAATATGGAACAAGAAAATCCAAATGATAGATAATCTTTTATATTAGAGAAACACTTCAAAGATAATAATATGAACAATATTAATGTAAGAAACTCAAAGAAAAATTGCTAAAAACTATTAGGAATGATTATAACAATTTGAAATGAAAGTCATGTTTCAGCACGTAGACATGAAAATCTCATTATTATATCTCATAGTAGAACAATAAATATTACAGGTTGACATTGGTATAGTCTTTGTGGTTCAAGGAATATTACCCATATCCTTTTCTACAATTACTTCGAGCAAATATAAAAATTTCAAGGATAACTTGGTCCACCATGGTGAAAAGTGCATTGTGTTCACCAAAGATAGGATCTTCCCCTAAAAGGTCAGAATTATACAATCAATGTCAATTCTTTTAGTAATTAAGTATTCTTCTACCCATATTACTATATTGAAAAGGAAATTATAAAAAAATGTTTCTCCGAAAAGAAAATGTAGATGGAAAAGTAATTGGTGTAGAAAAATAAAAAAATAAAAAATATTTTTTTATTTGGTAAAAAATTGGTAAGGAATGATATTTCTCTCTATATGTTTTATTTTTCGCTTATATGAGAAAAGAAAATGCTACGTATAAAAGAAATAACTATTTTTCAAAATTACCTCTTTCTCATTTAAAAAAAATATATAGAATAACTTTGTAATTGTAAAATTACTTAATTTTTATTTTTTATTTTTTGCTTTTATTTTTAAATATTATTTTTTTTCGTTTCATGTTACTTTCTTTTTAAATGAAACAAGTACACCTTTTCATTTTATTTCACTTTTCATTTATTTATGTATTTGTTAACCGAGCTTAGATCTTTGAAACTCTTCATGAACCATAGATGGAGATTGGTGAAAGTTGCTATAATAAAAATATCAAACTTTAGCATGAGTTCAAAAAGGAGGAGAGAACGAGGCAAACACCCGACAATATAAGCTTTCACAATGTAACGATGACATACTTTATTAATACTAAAACACTAGCTGACAAAAAAAAAAAGATATTTTCTATGACTTAAAACAATGTCATTTAACGAGTATGAATATTATTTGCTCGTAATCAAAAAAATACTTATCCAAAATTCTTCTAAGAATTATTGCAAATTATTTTGGAACACTATTGTTTAAGATTTTGATCCAAGTCTTGAAAATTTTAACATGCGCCATTTAATAAAGCTGGGAGGTTACCCATTCAATGTTTCACACATGTTTAGCAGATGTTAGAAATTGAATTTTTAAAAAGTTATGAACAAACCTAAAAATGAAACGAGATTCATAAGACAAGGAATAGTATGAACTTCACCAAGCTATAGACACAACACAGTTACAACTACATTAAATTTAAGAAAGTACACAACAAAATATAAAGTTTGCTTCAGAGATAACTATCCTAATGGCAGATAAATCAAGGTCAGCTCATATACCTAATGTAACATCTGGAACAATATACCTGAAATTCACAGCAAGACTAATAAACTTGACCTACTAAACAAATTAGTAGTCATAAAATCGCCAAGATTATAGTCAACCATCCTAGCCACATGGTCAAGGTCTAGCTCTCTTGTTGCTGCAGGATGGACATTTGTACTGCTTGATGTGTTCAGCCCTTGCAGGGGTAATCTTCACACACTTGCCATGGAACCATTTCTCACAGATGTCACAGCAAATCCAGAACTCATCAGAAGTATAGCTCTCTCCACATGCCCCACAGAAAGTTTCTTCATGTTCCTCTTCATCTTCTCCTTCCAAAGGCACACCCTCATCACCCTCGTCCTTTGATTGCATTGCTTTTGAATTCTTTGATTCAGAACCTCGCTGCATTTGTGAGAGAGAATATAGTCAAATATCAACCAGAAACCAGATCACATTACAAATAGTAAAAGACTTATTTGGCTCCCAAAATACTTTTTCACTCCTAGTTCTAATGATAGCATCTAAAAAACAACATCCCACATTACTTCTTATTAAAGGACAATAACTCAAATGGTTCATCCTCCTAACCCTGACTTAAGAAACTTCGCCAACTTACCTTGTGTTTATAGCATTCAATCCAGTGAAAACAAAATGTGATTATTAGCCAATTTTCAGGGGGGGAAATTGCTTTACCCTTTTAGTTTTACAAGATAAATTTTGATAGAAGAGTATTTCTAAGCAATAATATCATACATGTACAGAATTTAGGGATTTCCTTAATCGCTATAAGCTATATGATACTTGCCATGCCACTGCTAGGAAGAGCAGATTGATTTTCAAACTCATACCTTGGAGTTTGATTTCGATTTGTTACTGCTATGATTTGAAACTGATGACTTTTCCTTGCCTTGTTTCTTGGCCATCCCAGTAACAACCTCAAATATAGTTGGAAGATCATTTATCATGTTAAATAGTCGCTTCCTGCATGAAGATTAAAAATAAATATTATTGAAAGATTACATCTTCTCAAATTTATTATAACTTAGATAGGTAAAATTATCAACAAGTCACAAAAGAATGCAAACTGAAACGTGTTGACAAACTAGGGATGAAAAAATATCATCAACATCTTGTAAACAGTATTAGAACTGCTAAGGCATTGAATTCAAGCCATGTATAGAAAACTTTGCTCTTATTCTCTTAAAGCAAAAAGATTCTCTGCTTAATGCATCTTAAAATGTAAACTGTACAGCATTAGATGAGTATCTAGGTAATGGGAAAAAGTATTCCTACTAAAAGGAAAAAATTATATGGAAATAGAAAACTAATCAACAGACTGAATGCAGCTTAAAACATTATCTCACGTTCTACCCCCCGTAACTAGTATTTTTAGACTATCATATTCATGTCGCAATCTAGCAATTATTTGCACAAGTAACAGATAAAATTGAACTACCTAAATCTCTTAAGGAAACACTTGCGTGGAGAGGGTGTATGATATTCATACCCTCTCCACTATCCTTCCCTTCGATTTTTGTTAGAATTAGATAGTGAAAACTATCAAGAGACTATTAAAAGGTAATCATTCTCTCATTGTTGAATTCCCAGATAAATTCCATTCCGTCTAGATAATCCATTAAATCAAAATATTATAATTGCTGAATAGATGATAGACTGATTCAAAGGTTTTCAGGAAAGAAATTTAACCGTTACAATTATGCTACAAATCCTAAATAGTCTAGGTAACCATGTTATAACGCCAAACCACAGAACATAAGCCATTACCTTTGACAGACATTCTATGTTTTAGTTGATATTTGCAGGGACAAATCCACGGTCTTATCTCTCACCAAAGCCATAATACTCAAGTTGTATCCAGGTCTACTAGTTATAGTATAAACCACAGATTTGGTTAACAACTATAGCAAAATTGGAAATGAATTGAACAGCCCCATTGTTCATTTATTCTTCATTTCAGAAGGAGCAAAATCACTTTGCTCATCCTTACTCAGAGCAATATTCTTTTAGCTATGCTGTCAGAACTCAGAAACACAATGAACTGAGAATAATATTATTTTAATAAACATCTTTCAAATACTTCATTGTTTCACAAGTAACAAGACCAAAAATAGTTTGTGCATAACATGCGTTCCAAACTCGAGTAATAAGAACACTTTCAACACATCCCTACTTTATTTCATCTCTGTTAATTTTCCTCAAATGAACCAAAGAACACCATACTCATAACTAGTAGCAACTGTCGAGGTAGCCAACATTAAAAGAGGAAATTAAGAACATTCAGTACTAGAAAATCTGATACTTCCAAATACACTTATCCTTATTGCTTATGCATGCACCTCTTTTGTGTCTAATCATTTCTTTCTTTACTCTAATACTCTGTTAACTTAAACGCAACAAAAGAGCAAAAGAACCATGTTCCAAAGAATAGGTTCAAATATCTTTGAGTTTAAAAGTTAGAAATAATGTGAAAACAACATCCAATGATCCAAACAGTTGGCCCAAGCCATATATTTTTAAGAGAGAAATACACGCATCATTTAAGAGAAAAAAATCGGCTAAACCCATATATTTTTAATAGAAAGGAAAGTACACGCACCTATCAGCCTTGTCAAATCCAAACCTAGCACCAAAATAAAAAGCCACAGCAAGTAACCAAGCATCACTGTGTACAGCAACCAAAGACAACCAGTCCTTATCCTGCATCCCATCTCTGGCAAAGTTGATGCCCAATGCTGGCTCTGGAAGCTCTGGGGGTACCTCCTCAGCTGGCAGATTGACTTCCCACTGCTCACTTGGAAATCCATAAAGGCAAAGGTTTTCCTTCTCTGCATCACAGAGCTCATATAAATTCATATTTAAAGTCCCAACCAAAAACTTCAACAATACCAAGAACTTTAAATGTAATAAGGACAACACTACAATCAGCAATTGAGTTATGGCAATAAGGTAGCATGATGAAACAGCTTATATCAATCACTCGGTAGATCAAATACCTAAAAGGAAAAGATTCATATTAGGATTTAATCGCATTGGATACTGATAAAAATGAAATTAACAGATGGCTGGAATTGTTTCCAAGCAAAATAGGAAACCTCAAAGACTAAATCTAGTATCATGAATGAAAATGTCCCTATGGGATGTTCTTCATATAGCCGAAGTTTTAATTGATGACTTCATTCCAATTTGGGATTTGAGATTTTTTTTTTATAATGAGGAGGAAAATATGAAAGTCTCACATTATCCACAAGCCCAAACTCTTCCATTATTTTGTATTAAACATCCAAACATACTCATATTTTCCTCTCATTTTGTTTTCAATTACCTCTACTTCCAACTCCCAACCTAAGTGATCTGCATAATGTCATGACTGCAGTCCATGAAAGACCAACCTAATGGCTATCCGCACATGCCTTTAACCCAAAAATCACAGTTTAGGGATGGTGAGTCTGAAGTACGTTAACATTAAACAAAAAATATATCAAGCATTACCAAACACACATACTCATTCATAGTCATGTCATATTCATACTTCCCAAATGCGTAAGGATTAGGACAACTGGTCCTGAAAGAATCTAAAATGCAAGTAAAATTTAGCTTCATTCTGTGACCCACAAAATATAATTCATATGAAAGGACCCATAGAAAAATGAAACCATTTCACCATATTTTTAACTAGTGCTAGTGAACCCCTGTCAGCCAAACAAATTTTATGGGCCCATGTACAATGAAGCATAACGATGCAAGCTAAAATGAAAGCTACCAACTGAAAATTTCGCAATTGAGTTTCTTCCCATTTAGGGTAGCATATGGTTACTTCAGTCCATGCTACATTAAAGCTAGCAATATAACAACTAGAAAGAAACAGAAATAGAAATCCTCAAATGACCCCATTGTACACAAAATAGAGTACCGTGTATATTAGACAAGAAAAATAAAAACTTCAACCAGTAGTCATTACAAATTTGTGAAAGTAAGTAAATTAGGCATACACGTTTTTTCATATTTTCAAAATTTAAGTCCGAAAATCCCATCCCCGGTGCATGTTAGGATCAATGCAGGAGAACCAAATATACTTTTACTCGGAAAGTAACATCTTTTCCCTTCGTCATGGTGCTGCCCTGGAATTCGTTATTGTTATTGTGCATTCCAATTCGCAAAAGTACTTTCCAAAATTTCATCCAAACATAGTTTCAGACCCACCTAAATTCAAATTTCTCTTCAAATTGAAACAAACAAAACCCAAACTCAAAATAGTTTTCACTTTTCACTTCAGAAGTCAGCTCGATTATATGGTCCAGACAGTAAAAAAAATTGTAAACACAGCCAAGAACAAAAATAAAGTTTTTTTAAGGAACAAAAAGTTACCAGGATCACACTGCTGGTAGAACTCTTCAACATCTGGAGTACCAACAAAAAAAAGACATCAGGGGAAAAGAGAAAAAGGTCAAATTTTTATTTTCATTTTTGTTTTTTCTGAAAGTAAAATAAAAGAAAGAATTTGAATGGAAAAGGATAAGAAGTGAGAACCAGTGGTGAGAGCTTTAATCAGAGCAGCTCTCCGACCTTTAAAATCCCTAAAGACCTCTTCGACTGTACGAGGATTGTAACCAGCATCCATGTCTGAGGGCAGGGTTGAAGGGTTGAAAAGAATGGAGGGAAAGAAAAACCAAGAAAACTATTTGACCCTTCACTCACTCTCTATGTTTATGTTTCTGTGTGGAGTGTGTGTAACACAACACACATGAAAATAGAAATAGTGGGGGTAATAATAGAACAGAGAAACCCAACTCAGGCATTTTATAACCGGATTTGAATAGAAAAGAATTGGATTGAATTAACCGGATTTGATAAAAGCCCATCGAATCCGTTTCACGCTTAAACGGGATACTTTTTTTTTTTCGTTTTTTATGGCTTTAAAAAAAAAACAAAAACTTGAGTGTGCATTACGGTGCCGGGTACCCGAATTATACGTTCAGGTGAGGCATTTTCACACTTTAAAAAATTATTGAAGTAAATTTTAGTATTATTTAAATGTTACTTATTAAAAATATATATATTATATTAAATTTTTAGCATTTATTGATCTATTGCATGTATAAAACTAATATATTATTAAATATGTAAGCATTTATTGCCATTTAATTATATATATATATATATATATATATATATAAATGTTTAAATATCATATATTTAGTGCATGGTAATATCATTAAATTGTTGCAGCATTTATTGATCATAAATATTATCCTCTTAACAAGTGCATAAACAAATAATTTATATTAATTAAAAAATAGTAAATATTATTTAATTATAATATTCTTGATTTAAAAATAAAGTAGTTAATTATTGTATAATTTTATATTAGTTAATTGAATTAAAAAAAAGTAAAAAATAAATAAAAGAAAATATGAGGAAAAAAAGAAAAAAATAGATGAATTAAAATATAAAATATTTTTATTAATTTGACAAGACAATGACACAAAAAGAAATAAAAGTATTATTTCAAAAAAAAATTATTCAATTATCAAATTATTCATATAATTATTAAATAATATTTTATTAATAAAATATTTTTTAAAATAATGTATTTTAATTAATATATTGTTTTTTTAATTATATATTTGAATATATAAATATAAATTTATTTATTATAAAATTATTTTTTAATTATATTAAATAAATTAATAAATAATATCATATTATAAATAAATATATATATTTAAATATTTATTTAATTTTATAATCATTTTCATATATTTATAACATATTTTTAAATTAGTAATTATATATATATATATATATATATTAAAATTATAAATATAAAAAAAATAATCATTTATTTAAATTATAATAATTTTAAAAAATAATATTTCTTTTAAAATTTTCATTTTTTTCCACTCATAGGAAGTAAACATATTCGTTATATTAAAATATATATTACTAACTTAATTACTAAATACTTTTTTTCACTATTTTTTATATTATTTCTTATTTTTATTTTTTCTTCAAACGAATTTATATTATAAAGAAAAATAAAATATTAAAAATAGAATCATCATTAAACAAGGTGTATTTTTAATAATATAATTAAATGAATAGTATTTTTTTTAATAATATTGCTAGTTACATTTATACATATTTAAACTAGTTTCATTTATACATATTTAACTCTACCGTAAAATAATATTTTATTTATATTTAAATATTTTTAAAAATGTATACACCTTTTTTTAATTTAAAAATAAAAAAAATTAACGTGTGTAATCTTAAATTATGTTAATTATATCATAAATGGTATTTCACGTGGTAACTTTGGTAAGGATTAAGTGAATTTTATTTTAAATTTTTTATAAAAAAATTAAGTTAATTTTTAAATTTTTTATAAAAAATTAAGTTAATTTTTAAAATTGTAAAAGTTTCTTAGAAGGAATTTATCTTTTATGACGGTTGTTTTAGAACATACAAACAATTTTTATTCTTTTATATATATATATATATATATATATATATATATATATATATATTTATTTATTAATGTTTAGATATTTTTATATATTTAGGTAAAAAAATGAGTTTAATAATCATAATTTTTAATATAAAAATAATTTTATTTAATAAAAAGATCTTCATGATTTTATTATATATAATTTCTTCAAAAATAAATAAGATAGGTCTTAATTTAGATTTACATAACTCTATAAATACTAACTTAATTAAGATTTTTAGCTCCACGTTACATTCATCTTTACTAAAAAAATCAGAGTATAATAATAATATTATTATTAAATTGTTAATACATTTATTAATGTTTAGATTTAGAATTTGATATATATATATATAGATGTTTGTTCTATTATCATTAAATATGACGTATTCAAATATATTATTGTATTAGAATATTGAAATTTTAATATATATATATATATATATATATATATATATATATATATATTAAATTTCATATTAAATATGACATATTTAAATTTATATTTTTTTTATACTCTTATCTATAAAAGTAATTAATGTCACATGAATTGAGAAAATTATTTAATATAATGTAATTTCATTGATCTTAATTATAAGATATATATTTTTAAAACATTTTTATTGAAATTCCACAATAAAAACAATCATTTATAGTGGAGAAATTCCACAATAAAACATATAAATAGTGGAGAAAAAAAGTTAGTATATCTGAAGAAAGTATAAAAAGAATATAAAATGAAATTTAAAATAATATTTTAAAAGAAATTAGTTATACAGAAAAAAAAAATATATATATATATATATATAAGCGTTTTATAAATCATAAAAATGTCATAGTTTATAGAAAAAAAAATATGATATATAATTAGTAAAAACAAAGTGAATATATTTAAAGAGTAGAAAGAAAAAAATTAAAAATTAATTATAAAAAATATAGATACATAAATATTTTAACAAATGTATTTTTATTAATATATATAAAAGAGATTACCCATTTTTAATTTATTTGTGTCATTGATTATAATATAATATTATTTTTATTAAGAAAATATATAAAAAATATTTATAAATAAGAGAAATAATATAAAAATATAGTTATTATAAATAAGAAACATAATATAAGAAACACTACAATAAAATTGCGTATTTTCGACGGATTTTTACCGACGGATTTGTAGCAGTCGAAAAATAATCATTACCAACGGATATAAAATATTTGAGAAATTTGATGTTACCGACGGATACATCCGTCGGTAATTTATAGATGAATTTACCGACGGATATATTCGTCGGTAAATTCGTTGATAAATTAACAAAACAACTATTTACCGATGAATATTTCAGTTCGGTAAATTAACAATTAGTTACCAACGGATATATCCGTCGGTAAAAGTATATAATAATTACTTAATATAATTTAATTATTCACCTAATTAAAAAATAAAATATTTTTTATTTAATAATTTAATTTAATCATAATTAGATTAATTTATAATAATTTATTAAATTAAATAATTTTAAAAAATAAATATATAAATATATAAATATATATAAATATATAAATATACAAATATACAAATATACAACTATATAAATGTACAAATATATAAATATACAAATATATAAAAATATAAATATATAAAAATATAAATATATAAAAATATATAAATATATTTGTATATTTGTATATAAATATAATTTATTTGTAAATTATTATCAAAAAATTCTAGTAACTTAGTCGTTGGAGTATTAGCATCTAACTCTAACTCTAACGAAGAAATAATTAATAATAAATAATATGAATATAAAGGGGAGGGGGTTCTATAAAAAAATATGCTATAAATAAGTAAATTATTTAATAAATAATAAAATTATTACCGACGGACTATTAAATCCTTCGATAATATTTACTGACAACCGAATTTCCGATGGCCAAAAATTTATTATAATTTATATATTTAAAACAATAAGAAAGAAAAAAAATTATAACACTTATGATAATAAAATAAATAAAAATATTTTAAAATTAATATAATTAAATAATATAAAACAAGTATAACACTTCCGTAGTAAAATAATGATAATTTTAATTTATTTTCAATTACTCAACAAATTTTACTGAAATAGTCTGATTTTAATGTAATTTATCTTAAAATTAATATTGAATTAAATACTAAAAGAAATGGTAAATTTGATTTTATTTTAAGATAAAATTATTGTCATTGTGGGATGAATAAAGTATTTATTTATAGTTAAGTATATTATTATCAAAAAATTTTAATATTTGAGTTTATATAATGTATTATATTATTGATAAATAGTCACATTTTTTTTACAAATAAAATTGTATATTTCATGAACTCGAATTTTATTGACTTTGATCACATCCAATTTAGATAATCTAACTTATACAAATAAACATCGGTTCTGAGTGTAAAATGAAGTGTAACTGTATCCAAGGGCGAGATAAATTACAATTGCTCAAGGATCCCCATGTAAATACACTTTAATGCTTAAGTGAGTAAAAAACATATATATTTTTTTCTCCTAAAGTAACATATAGTCTAAAAATGGTAAAATGATGTAATTTATAAGTTTCTTTCCAGATATATTTTAAGTAACAAATATACTTATTTAATAATAATAATTTGTCTTTATTATGGTATTAACCATTTATTAATACATTATCCTATTAATGCTCATTAGAGACATGTTAATTTGGAAGAGCATTCCAATTATTGAATATCTAGATAGGTACATAAGTCTCTGCCTTCAAAATCTAATTTTAACAAAAATGCATGAACTATAAAATTATTCGACCTGAGCTTATTTCTTTTGAGCTTATTGTTTTGAATTTGAGCAGGCTTTCGATTTCTACTGAGATATATTACTCATTGTATCTTTCCCTTGATTCTTCACTTCATTAAGTTCTTTGTGCATCCAAATCTTTCCCATTTTTCATCAAGCATTTCAATCTCAATCCCATTATTGTTAATGAAATGTTAATGACAAACTTTCCAAAGAGGGGGAATTGGGTTTTCAAATTTTTTTGAATTTCTAATTAATTATTTAAAGAACTTTTCCTAATAATTAATTATGAAAGAATTATCACAATTTATAGAAAAACAA